AAGTAAGTTATGGTTAACCAAATCAAACGCTTTGCTAAAATTAGTGTATATGACATTACTGCGAGAGCCGCTAGAAAAAGCCTTGGAAACATGAGAAGTAAGCTCTAACAGATTGGTAACCGTGGATCTTCCTTTTTGAAGCCATGTTGAAATGGAGAAATATACGATTTAATAGCAAAGACCATATGCTGAGTCACAATTCGCTCAAACACTTTAGGCAAGACACTCAACTTGGCAATGCCCCTGTAGTTCTCTACAAGTTGTTTGCACTTTTGTGAATAGGAACAAGGAAACAAATCTTCCAACACAAAGAGGAGGCACCTAAATTCAAGGATTTGTTAAAAATCTTTGAGATAACACCGCATATCTCGCCAGCACAAGATATAAGTACACATGATAGAATTCCATCAGGTCCCGGCGCACGATTATAATTTAGAGAGCTCAACGCTTCAAAAACGTCATTTTCAAAAATACCCAAATGTGGAATTGAAAACAAATTAGTAATCGGATACGGACAGTTTACTGATAAATCAAAATTAGCAATCGAAAAGTTTTGTCGGCCGAACTCCGCAAAGAGAGTTGAGGTTTCAATATCATCTGTGGACTCAGAGCCATTAAAAGGAGCAAGCGAGAGGTTTATGGAGTTTTTTCTTTTTGAACAGCGTATTTTTTCTACTTTCGTAATATCTAATTGTCTTATTAAACCACGGGGGACACCTGCTTCAAAGTCGGCACTGTGTGATCGAAACAGATGCAGCAACAGCTAGATTTAATATATTGTAGAACGATGACAATAAGCTTTCAATATTTTATGGAAATCATAAAATTTATTTGAAAAAATTGAATTTAGAAAGTTCTGGGAGTTCAACGAACGATCACGCTTGTAAAGAAAGGAAATACACATTGCTGGATGATAAGGATCCTCACATAAACTAAAAGGTGGACAAGGATTTACACTAATCTCAGGAAAATTGGCAAAGCAGAGGTCAAGCAGTCTACCATTACAATTAGGGGTACGTTTGTATTGAACTAAATTATGATCAAAAAATTCGTTAAAGAACACAACAGCTGAGGGTGAAGTAGGAATCAAACAGCCACAATTATCACTGTTACACTGTTATGTTTTCCACAGATGTATCGGGTGCCAGTCTTGACATAAATATTGCTTTTCTGGGAGGAACTTCCGTCAAGCAAATGTGTTCGCTACTAGGAGCAGTAGGGTTCACGACTGGGGAGTTTTGAGTTATGGAGAATATAGATGGAGTTACTAAAGGAGCGGCTTGTGCGACATACTCAGTGTGGTAACCACCCTTACACTTGAATAGTCGGGTGGAGAGGATGATTTATAGTGCTCTTTATCAGTTTTAAGCGATGACGCCTGAGTTGAGTGAGTGACGCCACTAGGAGGCGATACTCTTGCCACTTCGGCATAGCTTAAACCAGAAGGACTTACCGGCTTATTTGTAACTTTTTTGTTACAGAGCTACTCAGCCATATCAGAAACGCTGGCCTTCTTTGAGGACATTATAAAAGCGCTTACTTGCACCAACGAATCGGACTTAGGAGGAATTACAAGTGACGTACCATACGCTACGCTACCAGTTGTGATTTTAATAGCTTGGGAAGAATAGGAGTCCGCAATTAAGCGACACTCATAAAACTCAGTCTTAATGATCTGAAACTTTTCCCACAAGGACCCTAGATTTCAATTCAGAGAAACTATTTCTCGTCTCCGTGAACAATTTGTAGAAGTCTATGTCCCGCTTCCTACAGTCAGGCCATGATCATCGTAATCCCTTCGAGATGTCAACGACTGCATCAGCAGCACGGCCAATGATGCCGGCACACTTTGCATGACCAAAGCGATCGCAAAGCCAACACGAAACGAATCTCTCAGATTCCGGGCCCGTTTTCGCCCGACAAGGTGAACACTCCATGTCCAATCTAAAAGGCCGAAGTGGATTATGAAGAACAGAGAGACAAATTGCAAAAAAATCCTCAACACAAAAATTTATCAACCAATTTGAGCAAAACTTCTCTCTTACGTTGACACTGTAACAAGAGATCAAAAACAAAACAAACTACAAACTCCGAAAAAGTAAGCAGAGAAAAAGAGAGAACACCAAAAATAAAGAGAGATTTATATCAGAGATCAAAATTTTTGTTTGCAAAAATCCAACGAATCAAAGCGGATAGAAAAAAATACTTCTTTTACTTTGAATTCACTCACTTTCTTTTCAAAGTGTATTATAAATTCACACACTATAAGGCAAAATAGCTACAAAATTCAACAAGAAACGATAATATTTATTGCCGAAACAAAATATAGATGACTATACCGCAAAAAAGTATGACTACTTCAATAATAGGAAAAATTTGGGACAAATGTACATACACCTTGGAACATCATTGGAATATATTAATGAAAATTTTAATCTGTTGTTTACGTGATAAAAATAAAATAAAGCTACATTTGAATTTGCCCAAATACCCTGAAGGCAAATAAACATAAGAAAGAAATTCGTAATCAAGAAAAAGGATGCGACCGTTCATCTCAAGCTACTATCGGCTTACAATATCTTTATTTACAGCAATTTCCTAAGATTTTACATAGCTGGAGCACGATTTTATTGGCAAAATTTCGTCGAAATTTCATTTTTCCTTACATTTATATTATATTTCTTTAATCTTTATTGTTATTCCTGGATCCTGCTTAGAAAAGGACAAAAACACACAATGTTGTCATCAATTGCTTATCCTGCACCCACGTTGGATAAATGTCATGCTTTACAAAATAAAATTAGTATGTTAGTTAAAAAATAGTTGATTGATGCGAATTTACAGTGGCTTTCGATTATATAACAATTTTTACATATCTTTTTTTATAAGTTTTATAAATTGTTGTGTGGCTTAGTGTTAGAAAGCAAGGTATTATAGCCAATGTTTAACTGACTTACTGTATATCACGGAGCGAAGAAACTGCAAGAACATCTGTTAATTCTGTTTCCACTTTTGAGACGCTCGATGATTTACCTGGTGATAGGGACAAAATACCGGCTAATTACAGCAGAAATTTCAAATTATTGTAGGGTCTTTGTTCTTAAATTTCAGTGTTTTATATTTAATAATTTCATTAATGTTCAGCAGGAATGCAAATTTCTACTACATATTCAAACTTCTGCTGTGTACTCCGCCGAACTAAGGTCATTACTATACGAAGAAGTTGCTTCTTGTTAGCGATGGTACTGCCAGCTTGTTCTTAGATAAGAACTTTGTTATGTGGTTATTTAGACATGATAATATTTTCGAGATAGGTTTGTTGTTTTACAAGGTACCCAAGAAATAGAATAAGTATTTTTTGAGATAAGATTTTTGTGCCAACGTGAAATACTATTTCATTGCGCCGGCGTAAATTTGTGTTATATGAAATGAATTAATACTGTTGTAATTTCATATAAATTTTTATCTTATTTCTTTAATTGCGTTCTGTTCGCCTCAGAGTATCTTCCTCAATTTTAGTGTTAGCACCGTTATTCAAACTAATGCGAACTCTGCCAATGCAGCGTTAAGAAAACAGAGTTGGAGAATGTCGACGCATTGCTCAGTTGCTCCATCATTTTGCCTGATTTTTTCAGCAATCCTAATTTAGTGTCCGGATTTAACGGTTAGAAAGAACAAATGCAAAAGAAAATTTTAGACATTTGCCAATTGGATTCGGGAAACAGTATGCGCTTTTACTAGTACTACTGAATGCAATACAACTACGTGCAAAAAAGTACTGCAGCGTGTGGTGGCACCAAAATACTTAACATTGGCATTTTTCAATGGTTTATATACAAGCCGCAACTAATGATAAAGAAGATTAGTGCATTAATTCAACTATTGTATATATATGAACAGTGCATTCTTTCTTTTAAACATTTCATTTTATACTGCTGGGATAACTGTCGTACATTTTTTCTTCCGAAACAAGCGAACTTTCCGGATTATTCACCTTGCCCACTTCATCTCGATTCACTTTACTTTTCACTTCTTCCGATTCGTTTTCAATAGAAATTACACTCACGCCAACTGTGTTTTTGTCTTCTCCCAACTCCGGCCGTTCTCCTAGTCCTAATGCAACATTAGTTTCTCTCAGCACCAAGCTCTTGGAGTACCCACTAATATTGTCTCTTTGGTTACCTTTAAAGCCAATCAAAATAATAATAAAATAATAATATGAGGAATATCAATGCCATACCCTGGGTTATCTGCTTATTTACTGGGAACTTAGACGTATGGGGAAAATTATTATTCACCTTCACATCTTGATGTAGGATTTCTTGGATGCTTATGGAAGCAAAAATGTCATCGTCGTCTTCATTCCAATCATAATTGTTACATATCTCCGTTTTACACTGATTAGATGGCGCCAAAGTTGAAAAATTTTGGATTAACTTAAATTAACTTAAATGTTGTCTCTTCACAAATTTTAAAAACAACTTACTTTGATTGTTGTAAGTGTCCTCTTTCTCGATATCGTCATAACCTCGGTCTAAAGCTTTTCCTAAAAATAATGTACAAAGTTAGGGTTGTTAAAAAAAGCCTATAAAGAGCCACTTACTTTCCGGTGTAGGATCGTATAAAAGAGTTAGTTTTGCCCTTTCTCTAAATTCACGGCTGTAGTTTTTTTTGGTTATATTGCAGAAATAGTTTATTTTCATGACTTTTTCAACATTTTTTCCCAAAATCATTCGACAAGCAGCCAAAAAATAAAACCAAATAATAATTATTAATAATTAGAATCACAAGAAAAACTTTGTAACTTATGATCCAAGAAGTTAATACTAATCTGACTGTTCGATACTTGCCCTCTTTCTTTCAAATCGGATTGTAAGCTGATAAGAGGGCTTCCAGAAACCACAGTTTCTAGTCTAATTTCCAAATGCATAGTCATTTGATGCAGTTCTGTTAATTGATTGGCCTCCTTTTGGGCGATATCACTCGTCGTTGCAGGTGATTGAGGCTTTTTCTTTTCCTGAGGTGTCGAAAGTGGCGTTGTCATGCTAACATCTTTAACTTTAGTTAAGTTCATGCCAAGAGAGAATCTAGAACTATCTTCGAGGACATTGCGTCTGCACCATTTTCTTTGCTTGACAAAATGCGAGCTACTGTTTCTGTTCTGTTTCCCATTAGTTTTTTTCAAAAACGACATTCTAAATAATTTCACATGAATATGATGAATTTTTTCCTCTTGTTTCTTAGAAAATACAATTTATTGCGCAGTATTTTTGAGCATATCAAAACTTACAAATGGGGATCGTGAAAATGAACAAGAACAATGAAAATTGCCGTTAAGTAACGCTTTTTATTTTTGTGCCTTTTCATTAGTGTTGTTAAGCTACAAATGCGTTGCCACTTCTAAGATCGTAAAAATTTAATACAAAAAACGCTATAGCGCATCTGCTATGGAACAAATTAAGAAGTGAATTAGGAATTTGAAAATAAAAAAAAAAAAAAAAAAACAAAGACGGAACTTACAATCTTAGTTTATAGACTTTTATTATTATTCATTTGAAACTTACATTTAACCTTTTTTAAGATTTTAACTTTTTATTACTTTGTAGTATTGTGTTATTTTCTAAATATTGTAAATTTTTTTTTGTCAATAAATCGAATTCCAAAAAAAAATCTTTTTTTTTTTTAAATTTAGCGAATAAAGTTTAAAAACACACACTTATTTCCGTCATTGATTTGTGAAAAAAATTTTAAATTAAACTTGCGAATCACAACTTTAAAAACAAAATCTGGAAGTAAAATGGTTATCACAATAAACAGTTTGCGGGGCCAACTAATGTCGTTGATGAATGTTTCTGAAACCCACAAAGAACAAGCTGATCGATATAGACAACTTCTCGAGGTTGTGTTGACAATTTCAGGTGACGAACTCGTAGACAGCTGAAGCTATTTGTAGAAGCGATAGTCTATGAGCATGTCAGCCTAGTGATATCTCGCCAAATATTAAACGATGTGGGTGTACAATTAGCCAGGCTGCCGGATGAAGTATCTAAGCAAGTATCACATTCCGTATTCAAAATTGACTAGAAATCTTATTCACGTTTATTGTGTTACCGCAGAATAGAAGCGACGAGGCTGGTTTACAAATTTCTGAAAAGAAAAATATTCAACGATTTTTCGTTGAAGTTTATAAGAATTGTTCCGTTATGAGGTAATTTGCTATCTAAAAATGACAAGCATACCAAATGCCACCGATTTGCCATAACCATTATTAGATTTTTCCTTCAACCAATATCATATTTAGCCGTTTGACGTTCATGATACGACACACAGCACCCTTCAAAAAAAATAAATAGCAATAGCACTCCGGTATATATCAAAGCAATTATATTAATTTCATAAATGACTAAATAAATATTAAACTGTTAATATACGTCGAATAAAACACGTGCCTCGACGCTCTTGTACAATTTCCTGAAGGGCTGCAAGAGAAAAGCTACTGAGGCTGCAAGTCGCCGGCAGTCGCATCGTCCAAAACGCGCCCGACTGGCCGAAAAGGACGACTTTGCACCGGTCTATGACGAGAGCTACGACGGACCATCTACATTAGCTCAGTCAAACCAGTCAAAATTCGCTCAACTGAGTGAAAAGGACAGGATTGTACAGATCCATTTTGACGAGGTATACATCAACCACGAGACGGTGTACTCGCGAACAGATAACGAACTGCGGGGTTGCGACTATTCGAACCAAAAAAAAAACAAAAACATTGGAACACCATAGTGTATTGGTCTTCGCAGCACGCAGTCTACTCACTCCCTTTAATGTAGTGTTGAAAAGCTATCCCCGCACAATAGGCCAAACAAAAATGGGACCGGCTTTAGAAGAAAACATCAAAGCGGCTGAAGAGTTGGGGCTGGACATGAGAGCTGTCGTCTGCGACCGAAATTCGGCAAATACACAGCATACCCGATTATTTGGAAAAAACAATATATACAATAGAAAGCCGGCAGACGGCAGCACACATTCCATCCGGCTTTTGTTCGATTATCCCCATCTAGAAACTGCAATTATAAAAAATATAGAAGACAACAAAGACCATTTTGATCTGAATGTACTGTCTATAGTGTCACAAATGCGACCAAAAAATGATTCTTACTGGCAACGAAGAGGCTGGATGCCGGCCTACAGCAAGGGATGGAAGACGGCCGTTTCAAAGCAGGTGATGAGCGCAGGTCGCAACACTACAAGTGGCAATCGACAATGATGAAATCGAGGATACTGACGGAAAAGCGCAAGCAGTCTGCGACTTAACCCCGATAATTACGAAGTTCGTAAACGTCTTTCATCGGGAAATGATCAGCAGCGAAACTTGGCCAGAGCTAAAAGAACAACTAAAAGACGTAGAAGAATACTTACAGAGCAAATTTATTG